AATGCAGAAGCCATATTACCTGAAGTAGATGCAAATGAAGTAGAGGGAGTACCAGTGACTGAGCTGTCCATTTGCCGCAAGGCCCTACCATAAGATTCCAGGTGCTCTCTGAATGAATTCATTATATCCTCCTTGGGGTCAGACTTATTAGGGTGGTCCTGGGTGCTACCGGCAGTTTGAGTGTCTTGGGTTGCCACATGTGCTGTGCTCATTTTCTTCAAATGACCTTTACCCTGTTCCTGATTCTTTGCTGCCCACTTGGGTTTCCTGTGGATGTCCCAACAAGTGTCACGAGTATGTCGAGAATGCCTACAGTGGGTACAGAATAGCTTATCTTTATCATCCGCCTTCTTAGTGTCACTTTTCTTTCCTGTTGAGCTATTATTCATTGCAGCCGAGGCAACTTGTTGCTCCCCCTCAACTGTAAACATCACATTCCGCCTGCTTTCTTCAGATTGGGCAAGGGAGTATACCTCGTGAACCGTAGGCAACTCTTTGCTTCCTAGGATCTGCACCCTCAACGGTTCATATGCATGGTTCAGTCCCAACAAAAAAGCAAACACCCGTTGCTGAGAGACCAACTTTCTGTGGGCCTTAGCATCATCATCGTGCTTCCACTCTATGGCCTGATAATGGTCCAACTCCTTCCATATGGAGGTAAGGGCTGAATAGGTACGAGGACAAGCTACTGTTTCCCTGTTTACATGTTGAGGATTCAGCTTGCAACTGGTAAACCTTGGCGTAATGCCTTTGCTCAGAATAGGTAGTTTTGGCCTGTTCTCAGATCTCAATGGCGGTGTCTGCCCACATGAAATTCTTTTTTACATCAGGTTCCATGGCTGCAAGGAGCCAAGACATCACCATACTGTTTTCTTAGTCCCATCTATCATGTTCAGTAGTCTCACCCTTGGGTTCTTTCACCCTTCCATTGATGTAACCAGCTTTACCCCTTGCCGTTACATAGAGTTTTACTCTCTTAGCCCACTCTAGGTAGTTCAGCCCGTTTAAAGGGGTAATTGGCATGGGAAAAATCATGTTTTCACCTCCCAACCCCACTGTGCTGCGGGTTGGTGTAGCCCCTGATGAGGTTAATTCATGACTTGCCATTGAATACTACTAAAAACAGTCCAAATATCACCCAACAACACAGCCGCCACAATTAGAATGTGAATAACTCAGGTTTTACTCCTAGAAAGTGAGCAAAAGAACACTAAATATTGCTGAGAACACAGGGAATACTGCTGAGAACAAGTGGTTAAGTCAACACAACGTCCAAACAGGACAATAAACCAGTCCGGTAATCGGTTCAGCACAACCAATATAGACATTACAATCAGTCTGACTTTAGTTCACACACTCTAACCATCCAACATCCAAACAAATAGCTATATAATCAAGGCATGAACCCTACGCACCATTGGCCAAATAAGGCTGAGACACACTGAAGCAAAAAACATACCTGTTCAGCACTTGTATGAAGGTGTTAATCTGAACTTGACTTCACAGCATCGAACAGAGGAGTTTGCACCAGCATCACCCTTCTCCGACTAGGGTTTTCCTGCTGTTACAGCCAGGAAGAAGGAATCACAAATCTGCTGCCAGAAACTGCTAGGGTTTCTGCAGAACCAGTCGCCAGAAACTGCTAGGGTTTCTGCAGAACCAGCCGCCAGAAACCTGCTAGGGTTTCTGCAGAAACTGCACGTCCAAACACTTTTAAGAACAGGACAGGAGGGATCGTAGGTTTTTTTCAACCCAGAGAACCTGCTCTGATACCATGTGGTGATTYGTGGGGATTGGGAGAGAGAGAGAAAGAGAGAGAGAGGAAGAGAGAGGTACGGTTGAGAGGGAAATTACAAGTATGCCCCTGGCATCATATCCTAGAAATAAAGTAATAAGAAAAAGGAAAGAACAAGTAACTGTAACTGTAACAACAGCTATTAAATAAGCCTTACAACAGTGCCCAAGCGATGTATTTTTTTTTTAAGTAAAAAACATATATCTTAGGGTAGTTCCCTAGGTTCCATAACCATATTTCCTTAATAATTGTCCATAAGTTTAATAAGAAACGTATAAGCTTGCTGTTAGAGTCAAGGTTCAAAGTATTGATACGTATCGTGTTGGAGCCTTCTTGATATGCCCCTACAATGTGTGTTTCTGGTCGGCAAAAAAGAGTATTGATACAGGCCGATACGTCGATACTTTGAGCCTTGGTTAGAGTATAAAAAATCAACATAGTCATAAGAAAAAGAAGAAAGAAAAGAAAATGCAAAAATATGGGGGCTGAACCCCTATGTTGATATAGGAAAAGAAGAATTAGGAGGAGGATTTTGAATTCGTTGAGGGTTATACATCATTTAGCAATATTTGTGTTGGTTAAACCTTAACAAATAAGAAAATAATAAAAGGAAATTAGTATATAAACATGCAAAATGAACATTTAGTTTAATAATGTCTATTTTATAATTATAATCACAAAAAACTAAGAATGTAAATGTATTTTATAACATAATGTACAAAACTGCTTGGCGATTAGGTGAGCAAGCCTCCAAGGGCACCTTGTCGCCTAGGCGTCGCCTTGACAATTATGCCTTTCATTGCCATTGGCAGATCATGGTACCTATGTAACAGTTACTCTCAACTCAAGTCCTTCATTATCTCTTTTATTTCCTTGATTGCCATGTAGATGATGATGATGCTCTTGCTTCTACTGGAAGAATGAAATGTGTAATGGAAAATTGCCTATCTTGCTTTTCATGGCAGATACTATTCTATGAAGTCTTGTGAGATCTCCTCAACACCAATCATCACACTTTTTTGGTAGATTTATTTTTAAAACTGATAGCACTTCAAGAATTTTCAAATAGTTTTTTTGAAAGTCAATTAAAATATTGTATTATATTACTGAATTTTTTTTTAAATAGCTCTTAGGTGAGGAACTTGATCTACCTTTGACGTTGCTTGGGGTTTGTACCCTGATCAACTTGAAGTTAAACTCAAGTTCAAACATGTTAAGAACTCAAATATTTGGTTATGTTTGACTTGTATTTTATACGCCTTATCTGTAATGCACCCAACCCAGCCCTAAAGATTCATCACCAGTACTTGAACTAGTGGAGATATCCATCAAGTCACTTCAACTTTGAAATTCTGATGATACTTCCAGGATTTTTAGATGTGGAGCTGGGTCCGTTTTTGGTTTCCAACATTTCTCTTTTCATGATCTTTCTTGTAGATATACCAGATGTACATTCTCACAAACACCAAAAAAACCCAGGAATTTTAGAAATTTCCTTAGAACCTCCCTTTCTAAAGAAATCAAAAGAATGATTTCTGGTTATTTCCAGATTTTCAACTTAATTACATAGTAATGTTGGTAGTAAAGTTACCTGAAACATATGATGATGCTTGGCACTAATAGCATTATGATATTGCAGTACCCTGATAATGTTTATGTAGGAGATGTTGTTTTCTATTTTCCCATTTAACATGTTTGTGCCATCATGTGTACTGTTTTTATTCACTGGGTTTGTCTGTCTCATCTGTGCAATTTTGCATTAGTGTGTTCCATATAATTTAGTTAAGACCATGCTTTGTTATATTCCTTGATATGTATTAACAATGCTGGGTTCTTAAAATCCATGCTTTCCGCCCCTCACCCCCCAAAAAAATCAAGAAATAAAGAAATTGATGCTGTTGTTAAGTCCCTTGGTTTGCTTTCTTCTTACAATTTAAGGATCTTAATCAATGTTTGGTTACTAAACTTTCTCTTGAATTGGTCTTCTTGACCAAAATGGAGTTTAATCATTTTAAGATTCCAAACTTTGTCAGGCTGTATTATGCTTTTAGCCTCTTCTTATGGTCCGCTATGTGATTGAACTACAGAAGGGAGCATATTGAACAGTTAGTTACTTCCCTTGGATAGATGTGGTATAAATATTTTGTAAATGAGAGGGTATCATTTTTTTAGCTATTTATTTTGCAGGATTTCAGGGGTTTCAACTTTAATTACTTCAGGAATGTTTAGGAGCTTATTGTTATTTATTTTTCTCTTGAATAAAGATCCGTAGATGTGTTTTTTATTAAATAAAATTTGTATTCATCAGAAAAGTGTTTCCTGTTTAGGTCCTTTGTACTCAGATACATTGATAAAATTATTGCCTGCCTTCTAAGCGTGTGATGGGTTTCTGTCAGGTCAATATGGTGGTTTAGTATGTGTTTGGTATAGCTTCCATTTATTAAATAAACGTTTGTACTTGATTTGTCTTCAAAACCGAGAAAAGTACTTGATAAACCATTTATTGACAATTAGGTGCCACTAGGCACCATTAGGTGCCACATCAGCGGAACAGTGAATAAACGTTTAACTGTTGGGGGAAGCGTTAAAGTGAAGCTTCTCCCAATGGTTGGCACACACATAAATCAAGACTGCCTTTTATCAATACCGATGCGTATGAATCGGCATGATGGGATAAATGCTGATTTGGTGATGGCATGGCACCGTTTATCAAAACACCTCTCAGGAAACTCTCATGGAACCAAACATACACTTAAACATTAAAAAAGTGATCATTCCCTCTTTTTTCCTTTACCCCTTTTATGAGATAAGTTTCATATTTAAAATGCAATTTCCCCTCTTATATCATGTTTGGTGAGATGACTTAGTTTTTTATTTCTAATCTCGGTTTACTTCATTTATTAGATATATTTTATCCTATATGATCTATTTACCATGGACACTTTCAATTGCTGGTACTTTTGTTCATAAATTTGTATCATATTGAGCATTTTGCATATGATCTTTTGTATTAGACATACTAAGGTAAGAGACTAAGAAATGATGGATGATGCCTAGTTATGAGATGGTATGCAGACTTTCTGATTGTGCAAGTGCTAAGAATTACTTTCTGTTGCCAATAGTTTCATCCAAAATAGTATATTTTCCATATCAGGTGCTTAATTAGTTTTTTGATACTGTTAGTTAATCTGTTATGTGTTGACAGCACGATGCTGCATGTCGCGTCATAGCAAGATTGAAGAAAGAAAGGGACGAGGCAAGGTCCCTTTTGGCTCAGGCTGAAAGACAGATTCCTATGTCTGCATCAGCTGCTGCTGCAAATGCTTCAGCTCTTAGCAATGGGAAAAGAGGTTTTTTTTGTCTTTGCATATGAGCAGAACAGTTTCAAATTTTTTTAGGTCCATTCAATATCATATTTTATGCCCTTTATTTGGTCTTGCAGCTGCTGAGGATGAGGATTTGGGCCCAAGTGGAAAGAGAATTCGTCCAGGCATTTCGGCTGATATCATTACAGAGCTTACAGAGTGCAACTCTATGCTATCACAGCAGCGGAAAAAGCGGCAGGTTTTGAATATAAATCTATTATGATCTTACTTGATGTTGTTGAATTTCAATTATATATAAAATGCTGGAGCACGGCATTTGTTTTTGTATTCTCTTATTTATTTTACCTTTTATTTGCTCGACTTTGCTTGCTTATTGACTTGTTGATAAGCAGAATATGCATATATCAAATTAGGAGTTTTTAGATGTATTTGGAGTTATTGATCCCTCCCTCTCCCACTGGTTTTGGTTCCTTGTAGATTCCTCCAACTTTGGCACCAATTGATGCTCTGGAGAGGTATACTCAAATATCCAGTCATCCCCTTCACAAAACTAGCAAACCGGGTATTCTTTCTGCTGATATCCATCCTTCAAAGGTATGACTATATGGTGCTTTTTACTTGTATGTTTATGGGCTTATGTTTACCTTTTTTTTTTAGTTTTTCATATGCATGCATCTTTCATACACAATACATGTGTGGGTTTGTTGTTTGGATGCATTTCAATAGTCTGTAGTAAATAATTGTCTTCTGCTCGGTTATGATTTTGTGGCACACCTTTCTTTTCATTTGATCAGGCATTTCCAGTTTATGGAGCTTGTGAAAACTCATGTATTGGCTGCATGGTCTAAATCATTGACTAGAGTTGTTAGTTTTTGTTTTTAAATGTCTTACTAGTAGCATGGTGAACAGGATATAATTGCGACAGGAGGGGCTGATACAAATGCCGTCATATTTGATCATGCATCTGGGCAAATCTTGTCTACACTCAGTGGTCATTCCAAGAAGGTTCTATCCTCTGTAACTGACCTAGTCCTGTTTGTTGGAATGTAATATGTAATTGGAATTTGCATGTTTAACAAGGCTTTCTATTTTGTATAGGTTACCAGTGTTAAGTTTGTACCACGGGATGAGTTATTTGTAACCGGTTCAGCCGATAAGGTAATTCGTGTTCATATTCTACACTCAGTGGTCATTCCAAGAAGGTTTTACAATTACACAAAAAAAACTTGCACAATATTATCATGCATTCCTCATAAGTAGGCTGGTTACAACCAACTAGCCTGCATTTCACTACCATTTATATTCTTCAGTATTAAGGGGAAACCACTCCCAGAAGTAGATTATATCTTTTATTCCTTGTCTACATAGCTAGGTCATTATCCGATCTTGGCACCAATATAAATGTCGTGTCCAACATTCTTGCCAATCTTTTCACTTAATGGACAGTGTACAAATACTGCCAAGGTTCTTTATTATCATTTGTAAACTAGCCCACTTCCATTTTGGAATTTCCTACTACCACTATTCTTCTATAGATGAGAGTTCCCCAGTCTTAATACTTATAATACTGCTAGAAACTCTATCCTTGTGGAGTTTCCTATCCCGATTGATACTGAGACTAGTCATCATTTTCTATTTGATAAATAGAGACTAGTCATCATTTTCTATTTGATAAATAGAGACTAGTCATCATTTACTGTATAAGTGTATTCTCCTCCAATTCCTGACTCACTTGGATTACCCAAATTACATCCTATATTACACAAACTACATCCATAGTGTGTGGTTGATACAGTCCAAAAGTTTTCACCCAATGGGCTGCTTCACTCGTTATACTTTCTATTAGACCTGTTCACGGGCCCGCCCAGATCGGGCTCGGGCTGGGCTTTTACTCTTTATCAATATGATATATTCAGGCCCAGGCCCAAGCCCAAGCTCAGCCTGACCTTCAGGCCTAGATCTTGAGCCTGAGCCCAGCCCTCATAAAAGCCCGAAGCCTGACCTGAGAGAGTTATCGATCATATTCTCTGTTGCATAAAAATGGGAAGAGGAGATAACTAACAGTAACCAACCCATGGTTTGGATGGAATGGAAATTGAATGACTGCTATAAGCACCACTATCCGAGTGAGATGTAGAAAGATCGAAACATAAAGCCAAAATGAGTAGTGATTGACAATTGAAGGAAAATTCTTTTGAGCTAAATGACTTAAGTAAAATTCTTATATGGTACATTTTTTACAATATTGTAATTTCTTTTTTGTATTTGGTATTGCTGACCGTACTGCATGCTTTGATTCTAACAAGAAACTAGACAAAAGGAAACACTTGTTGGAAAGAATCCCCATGGGCGAAGCTTATGAGAGAGAGAGGATGGCTAGGGTTAGAAAAAAGTATAAATACATGTATATTATTAATATTTTTATTATTTAAATTGTTGCCGGGCTGGGCTGGGCTTTTTTGTAAAACCCTGATCCCGGGCCCACATGCCTAATAATATGTCCAAGCCTGACTGCAGCCGGCCAGACCGTCAGGCTACTGGCCCATGAACAGGTCGACCTTCAAGACTAGGGTTTTTTTCTTAGATTTGGAAAAAGAGGCCTTAAATATATCATCTGCCTCTATTGGGGGTTTCCACCTATAGAAAGAAGTGGTACAAGGGGTGGTGTTGAACAAGGATGGCCTTTTAAGTGTTGATCATAAAAGATAATAAGTTGGAATATAAGGGGTTTGGGGAGTTCAAGGGAAAGAAGAGTGATCAAGGATGTCTTTAGGAGGGAAAAGCCAGATATAGTCCTAATACAAGAATCTAAATTGATGGATGTGGTCAGGAAGTGGGTGTGGAGTATTTGTTCAGCAGGAGATCTAAGTTGGGTCTTTGCACAATCCTGGGGAGTTTCAGGAGGAGTTATTACTTTATTGAACAATGCAGATTGGGAGTGTGCTGAGGAACTAATTGGGGTTTATTCAGTATCAACTAAATTAAAGAGAACAGAAGATGGGTGTGGGAAGGTGTTTTGACCAATGCGTATGGGCCAACCTGTTAGAGGGAAATGGAGGGATTCTGGGAAGAACTAGCAGCAAATAGAGGGTTATGGAATGATCCATGGTGTCTGGGAGGGGACTTCAATGTAATTAGATTATTGAGTAAAACAAATAATCTGGGCCATAGAATTACTTCTAGTATGAGCCTATGAGGAAGTTTATTCTCTTTGTAGAAACCTTTGTGCCGTGAGAAGTAATTCTATGGCCTAGATTAAATCTTTGTGTTGATGCTTTGAGTGAGTTGATCTCAAGGGCAGGTGCTAACAATTTGATCAGTGGTTGGAGAGTTGGCAGAAAGTGGTGGTGACACATCTACAATTTGTTAGATGACATATACTATTTTGTGAAGAGGGAAGCTGAAGAGATCTTGAATTTAAAAAGATTAGTGCATCATTTTGACAAAATTTCCAATCTCAAAGTTAACTAGGAAAAGAGCTGTGTGGTGGGAGTAAACCTAGGGAGGGAAGAGATGGACAATCTAGCTACAGTTTTGGGATGTGAGGTACGGGATTGGCCTTTGCAATATTTGGGGCTACCACTGGGAGGTAATCCAAATGCAGACAGCTTCTGGTGCCCAGTGATTGAAAGATTCACTTAGAGACTTGCAAGCTGGAAGAGAAACTAAATCTCTCTAGGGGTAGGATAACCTTGATCAAGTCTACATTAGTCAATTTACTGGTTTGCTTCCTTTCTACATTCAAAGTACCAGTGATAGTGGCAAATCAGCTAGAGAAGATTATGACGGACATCTTGTGGGGACCTAGATCCAAGGAGGAAATTGTAGGCATAACTATTAAGGTTATTCACTGTTGAAAATGATTGATCTGTTTAAAGATATCTCAGCTAAAGATACTTATAGGAATTGGGGTGCTGTGGCAGGTATTTCTTCTTTCAAGGTCATAGTACAAGAATTTTGGTCTCCAACAACACAATAAAGGGTGAAGTTGAATTTTGATGGGAGCTCTGTAAGCAATCTGGGCCTTTCGGGCATAGGGGTGTCTTCATAGATGGAAAAGGTGGAATAATTTGCTATGTATTCGGGCCCAATAGGAGTGGGAGATTCTCTGAGAGTTGAGGTCATGGCTTTGCTTCAAGGGGTAAAATACACCAAATAGTTGGGGCTACACCAAATTGAAATAGAAGAGGATTCTAAATTGGCGATTGGATGTAATGAGGCTGTTTGGGAGCCTGGATACATAGACAGTTGATAAGGGAAATATACAGCTGAACAAGGGAGGTGGGTGCTTGCTTTAAGTGGACAAAAAGATCAGGTAATGGGTTAGCAGGTACTTCAACAAAACAGGGGGCAGTTAGGGAGAAACATGTTTTTGGGCAGCTTTGTAATTCAACTTGTATTGGTTCAACACCCTATACTAAGGGTTGATGGTTCTTTTTTTGAAAGCTCTTTAATGAAGTTACTGTTTCCTATAAAAAATAAAAGATATTTACTAATTCCATAAACCATGGTTTTGAAAATTGGACCAGATAGGAACTGTTTTGACCACCGGGTCCTGGGTCAAACAGCCTGACCATCCTGTTTGAAGCCCGGTCAGGTGGTTTTTTGGGATCCAAAACTGGACTTGGAGCCATGATCGGTTCCCAGGTCAACCGGTCCAATCGTTTGATCCGGTCTGGTTTTCAAAACCATGCCACAAACAACAGGATGGGAGCTTAGCAAGTTTTAAGTAGTCTCAAAGCTGCCCTGTAGGCCTGTACAAGGAACACATGTTGGAACCTGATATGTGGTACACCTCCCAAATCCTAACAATTAGCCCTTTTTATTGGTGAAATTGGTTCTTCCTTATTGCTTTCGTTGGATTACCCACGCTGCTGCCATCAAAATTCAGTTTGGTAAATCCCTGAGGTGGAGATGTCCAGCAGGAATTTGAGGTCTTCCTGATTGAGCCCAAATCCACAATCTCCTTCCACTTTCTGGCCATCTCATCAACTGAGAATACTGCAAACAGCTCCAAAGTTTTAAACCAGTGAATCACCCTAATGTAGATAGTTTCCAGAATTACTTCCAGGCTTCTCTCCTCATCAGAAAATACTTTTAAATTTCTCTCCTCCCAAACAGTCCAACACACTGCAGCCCTACCACATCTCCACAGGATCTTGGCCCTTTTGGTTAACTCGTTAGGCATGGAAGTAAATAAGCTTTGTACATCCGAAGGGGGAGTCCACCTGCAACCAAACAGAGAAGTAAACCATTCCCAAACGACTTTAACAAACTGGCAAGAAATTAATAAGTGATATCTAGACTCACCATCAGATTTACAAAGAACACACCAGTGAGGAGACAAGCAACTATTGGGTCTTTTTCTTTGAAGTAGATCCCCTGTATTAATTCTTTCCTGAAAGGTTTCCCAACTGAAGCACCCAACCTTTGGAGGAATAGGTTGACACCATACTTCCTTAACAGGAAAAGACATTCCAACAGGAGAAGGGGATGGAAGGGCCTTGAAGAAAGAGGCACAGGAATAGGAGCCCGAGAGAGTGAGTGTCCATATTCTACTATCTGATTTCGATGGCTCAATGAAGATTCCTTCCAGAATGGATAATAAGGCTGAAATGCAGGCTAACTCTATGTCCTTGACATCTCTTCTCAAGTTCAAATTCCAACCGAACCCAGAAGGAGAATTAGAAGGAACAAGAAAGGAGGTAATTGGTTCATTTTTAAGGGTAGAGATAGTAAAGAGGCTTGGAAATTGATCTTTCAAAGAGGAGTTCCCAACCCATACATGTTCCCAGAATTTAATGAGGTTACCTGAGTGTAATTCATACCTGACCCAAGGATAGAACAAGGGCAAGATGGCTTGAAAAGCTTTCCAAGGAGAAGCTCTTGTAGTCCTTGCTAAGGTCCCAGAGTCCCATCCATTGCCTGCCAGCCCATGTATGCTTTCCACTATCTTAACCTATAGTCTTTTTTTCTCCAATGAGAATCTCCACAACCATTTCCCCAACAATGTTATGTTCCTAACCCTTATATTCCCAATTCCCAAACCTTCATCCTTCTTGCATCTACATACCACATCCCATCTGACCCTATGGTCCTTCTTCTCCTCTCCCGGCTCCCAAAGAAAGTCTCTCATTAGTTTTTCTAGCCTACTTAGCCGGAATCTTAAAAACTGAAAGGAAATAGACAGGAAAGTTGACAAGAGTAGACCTTATCAAAGTGATCCCCCCACCGAGATAAATAATTCTTCTTCCAGCTGGCAAGTCTTTTTTCAAACCTTTCCACAACAGGGGCCCAAAATTCACCTTTCTGAGGATTATCTCCCAATGGTAAACCAAGGTAGTTTAAGGGCCAATTGGAAACTACACACCCCAGAATGTATGCACATTCACAAACCTCCCCCTCGCCCATATTGACTCCAATTATACAACTTTTCTCAAAATTTACTCTAAGGTTTGACATTTGCTCGACTTGTTGTATGGTGAGCTTTAGGTTTCTAATCCTATTGACAGGAAAGTTCCCATAAGAGAAGGGATAACTTTCAATAAAGAAGCCAAAGAAGCAGTAGTATTTAAACTCTAGCATTTAAGCATGTATTTTAGTCATATCCATTAGCCTCTATTTTCTTTTTTTTTTCATTCATGGGTCTACACAACTGGCGGTAGCCCATCCGCCTCCCTTAATTTGTGTATGCTTTCTATGACCATATGCAATAGTTTATCTTGTTTAAGAAGAAATCTGCATAACCATTTTTCCAACATTGAGGAGTTCTATGTACCAGTCTATCCTTGTGTAAGTTACCCTCCTTACTCAAAGACATCATCTTCCAATTGTTAAGTGGACTTTTTAGATTCCCTTGTTTCCAACAAGAAAATTTCTCATGAGTCATAATCTTCTGTAGTTTTTTTTCTATTAGAAATTTAGAACTAGGATATCGAAAATCAACAGGTAGTAGATTGTAAAATTTGTGAGAATGGATTTGATTAACATGATTCTTCGACCTAAGGATATATAGTTCTTCCAAGAGGCCAATTTTTTGGGAAACCAATCAATGACATGGTTTCAGAAACCAGACTAGGAAATGAGTAATGCTTAGGCAGTTAAGTGTCTGCTCTCTTTATGTTTATCTTACTAACACATCCTAAGATCTGCCTTTTGATTTGAAATATTTTCAAAATTTCAATCGACAATACATTCATTTCTCTTCAATTATCAAAAAAAAAAAGAAAATACATTCATTTCTCTTCTCAGTCCTCACCAGCACAGGATGATATATCATCTGTAAATTAATTCTAATTTGGTAACCACTACTTTCTCTTTCCCATTTTTGATCACCAAAGTAAACCTACCGTCAGTTCTTCATATCAACTTGCTTAAAAACATTTACAACTAATGTAAAATGTAATAGAACAATTAGCTCCTTCTTGGGGATCTTTTATAGCAGGGAATATGCCTTTTATCAGTCCATTGACCAACATAGAATAGTGGCATGTTTGAGATCTCTTATGTTGTATGGGAAGGAATCTCTCGTTGGCTCCTTTCTCATCCAAACCATTCTTCCTCAAACCCACAAATTTTCAGCACATGATCCAAATAGGACTAATCTACCGTGTCATAAACCTTCTCCAAACCCATTTTTACACACCCATGTTTTCCTCGATTTTCTTAAATTTTTAATACTTTCATCTGCTACAAGGGTTTGATCAGTTGTATGTCACCCATTGGCTCTTAGTTCTACAATTCTTTCATCATGGAATTCTCTCATAGTCTCCATTATGCCCCTGTTTAATAATCTCCTAGAATTCTTGATAGAAGCCCATGGAGAATGATCAGGCTTTGTTGTTCAGAAGGTCTTTTAAGAAATGATGCCAACCCACTATGTAATATTGGTCAATCATATCTATCTACTGTTGCTCTAGTGGAAGAGAGTTCCTATTATGATTCTTCAAGTGATTCGGAATATTAACCAGTAGATTTCTGTTGGTATCAATAGAAATACAATCCTTATTATTGATAAAAAATACAATCCTTATTCACAAATCCTAGGTGCATCAGATTTGGATGCACCACCCGAAATACTCAGATCTGGATTTTCTGCTTAATCTTCAGATTTCACAGAAAAAAATCCAGAAAAATAGTACCTGTATAAAACCACCAAGATACTGACCTGATTGACCAACCATACAGCCTGTGAAAATGGGCCTGGGAGCTTGGAAGAAATGTTTGTGTGTGAAGATGTCTCAAAATCAGTCCTTTGTAGCTTATTCATGAAAGTATGAATTAATTTATCAAACTGTTGGGTAGTAATTGATGGTACCAGACTATGCTCTGGACCATCAAAACAGTGATGGATTACTCTGTATATTTGTTGCATGCTTGTTTGGATTTATGCATTCTCAAATGCCCAAAGAACTTCTGGTGTAATGTTGGAAGTATTGTGCAAATCTTAGTTGACAGTGATCAAGTTAATTAGCCAATGAGTTGGAGCAAGGAAAAATATTACAGAACCTGCATGTGCATCCTTTTAGGCCAGGGCTTGAAGACAAATGTCTAGTAGCATGTGGTTTTATATTATTATAGATTATCTATATAATGGAGGTGTCAAGATGAATGGTTATGTTATACTATGGTGTACATATTAGCAGATAGCATGTAGTTAGAGAACTTTACCTGATTAGAACTTTCTGTTCTTTGTTTGTTTATGTTTTCTTTGTATCTTCTGTAGATGTTTTCTTGTATTCAATCTAAAAAAAGTACTCTTTACTATACTTTTTCTTTCCTTATTCTCTTTTGTAATTTATTTCCTTTGTCCATCACAGACTGTGCGTGTATGGCAAGGTTCCGAAAATGGGAACTATAATTGTCGGCACATCTTGAAGGATCATACTGCAGAGGTTAACCTTCTTTCTTAATCTCACATTTTTTGGATTGAAAATTCTTAATGTTGTTTGTTTTTACTGAAGTTTGTTAGTATTGTTAATGTGAGTGATCAGTGGTTTTGAACTGAGTGATCAGCTTTCATGATAGTTGTTTCTTCTCTATGCAACTTAAATCATACTTATGAACTGGTTTCATTGGCACTTCACTGTCTACTTCTATGACCTATCAATAATTGCCATTTTTTGTTCTTTGCAAATTTAGTGGTTTAGTATGTTATCCAATTTTGATGGTGAAAATCTGCTGTATTTTTATTTTGAGGGAAACTTATAACAATAAAAAAACTTATTGTAATCAATATTTTAAAATGCAGAGATCTAGTGGAAGGCATTCCACCATCCCAAGGTGTGAGATGTAAATCAAAGCACAATAGGATCAAAGCCTCCAGGACGAATTTTTAATTAAAGAATAACTAGAAATAGAGTTAATAAACAGAGTAGAAAATTATAATAAATAAATAGAAAATTGATACATTTACAATTATAATAAGTTGCAAAAATAGGGAAAAAAGGAAAATGATTACATTTACAATTTCCAGTAGTAAAATCTTTGTATTCAATATTCCAAGCTATGCTAGAAGTAAATAGAAGAGAAAATCTAAAGTGGCAAGTGACAATTAATATATAAGCTATATTTCTAAAATAGTAAATTAGAATTTTAAAATCAATATTGGGCATTTCTTTATTATTTGTTTAAACATTCTTTTGCAAGCTCTATACACGTGGGAAAAAGCTCGTAGGTTTGATTTCTTCATGCAACATGGTTTTGGAGCTATAATTTAATTGATTTGTTAATTTGAGTTTCTTCTTACCTTTGCTTTGGAACTAAATGTCAAAAACTTTGCCAGGTGCAAGCTGTCACGATCCATGCCACTCATAACTACTTCGTGACTGCATCTCTTGATAATACATGGTGCTTTTATGATCTTTCTTCTGGATTATGCCTCACTCAGGTCTCCTCTCTCATGGTGCTTTTATGATCTTTCTTCTGGACAATACAATGGTGTTGTTTTTCTCACATTTATAGAATTTTGAATGTAGGTGGGGGATGCTTCAGGGTCTGAGGGCTACATGTCAGCTGCTTTTCATCCTGATGGTCTTATTCTTGGAACTGGTACCTCAGAAGCTCTTGTTAGAATTTGGGATGTTAAAAGTCAGGTATGGATTTATACTGTGCACATTTAACTTTTGTTAGTACCTTTTTTTCGGCAAATCTTGCTAATTTGGTGATGCATATTTGCAGTCAAATGTTGCAAAGTTTGATGGGCATGTTGGGCCAGTAACTGCCATATCTTTCTCTGAAAATGGTTATTTCCTGGCGGTATGCATTTCTATGCCTTACAAACTGTATAAATATAGAACAGGAAATGTCATAAATATGATGTTTCTGTGTCAATAATCAGACAGCAGCTCACGATGGCGTTAAGCTTTGGGATCTACGCAAGTTGAGGAACTTCCGGACCTTTACTCCATATGATTCAAATACACCAACTAATGCTGGTATGGAAAGTTTCACTGTTGGTTCCTACTGAAGTTTTTTGTTTTATTCCATGAGCACGAGGATTTATAGATTTATGGGGATGTGTGTGTGTGTGTCACACCTTAAAAGTGGTTCTTAACCTCTGGTTTCACTGTTTCTTGTGGTTGGTTATGAACCTTCTACCTGTCAGTAACGGGACAGAGGGAATATGCTTCAAGCAAGTATTTCTTTTTCTCTTGCTGCTGATGGACAATGGTAATTGAAACTTGTTGCCTTGTTTGTGTTTCTGCAGTTGAATTCGACCACAGTGGTAGCTACCTTGCAATTGCAGGCTCAGATATCAGGTAGTGTCCAAAAATTTTCCCATGAATTGTGTTTATTTGTCAACTTAACGTCCAAAAACAAAAAGTGCCTTCTGTATTTTTTCTGTAATCTAATTAGACTCCTATGTTATAGTTATTGATTTACAATTTAGGGGTGCAAATCAGGTACCCAATTTGAACAATGCACACAGCATCGGGCCCATTCAAATTTTAACAAATCCTCAGCCCAATCCTGCCCAAGTTGTACCCCTATTACAATTCCACTTGTTGTTTGACTGCCCTCCTTCCAAAAGAAAGAAAAAGAACAAAAAAATGAAAAAAAAACAAAGGTTTTTCATGGATTGACTGCTAGAGTTCATCATGATTTGCATTGGAACAAAAAATGAAAAGAAAAAACACCAAGGTTTCATGGATTGGCTGCTAGAGCTCATCATGATTTGCATTGGCTTATGTATAGCTATGGATGATTTACACTGCATCTTGCATGTCGGATGGTTTACTGAGGCTGCATACGGGGTTGGTTTGACTATGTTAACAGTTGGTTGACTAAACATCCTGTGTCACAGCATGTAGGTTGGTTTTCCTATCGTTGTCCATCAGTCATCCCCCAGGGACAATGTTGCATAACGTTTAAGTCATACTCATTTTAAAACCTTTCGTTTCTTAGGCATTTGTCCACAAATTTGATTTTGCATTTCATCTTTAATTTGTTTCATCAATTATAACTGTCAATCAGCAAATGTCATGTAACATGGGGCCTCCTCTTGAATATGTTTAGACAATTCATCTATGATTGGTACAAATACAAGGGCCAAGTGCTGAGCCTTGGTCACTTGTCAAAAAACAGGAGCTGAACCTTGGTGAAAACCCATCGAAACATGCTTCAGCTTCATTCTTTGGTACTGAAATTAACTAGTGTGTTGTTAATGCTGCAGAGTTTACCAAGTTGCAAATGTTAAATCAGATTGGAATATTGTCAAAACATTCCCAGATTTGTCCGGCACAGGTCTCTCCTTCCTATGCTTGAGCATCAATTCAGCTCCAAAATTATATTTTAGCTTGAAAGTTTTGGAACATAACGGGGTCAGCTTCTGATTTGGGTTCCTTTTTGTAATGGCTGCAGGGAAAGCAACTTGTGTGAAATTTGGTTTGGATGCAAAATATATGGCAGTAGGATCACTGGACCGTAACCTCCGCATCTTTGGACTGCCTGAGGAAGGTGCAGAAGAGTCTTAGAACTTCAATGCCCCATTTATGAAATGAACCTGTCAGCATCTATGGAGTGCTGCATGAACAGCGGATAACATTGGTTTAAACCGGTAGATGCACAACGGAGGAGGGGGTTTTTTCTTGTTTTTTTTTTTTTAATTTATCCAATGTGAAATGGGAGACAAAAGGGAAGGACTGCCGGAGGTTTTAGTTGTATCTCCTGAGTTCTACTTGTGAAGTAGGAGCTTGCATTGGAAATTATGATACCTTTTGTATCTTGTCAATTCGATTTGCAATACCTTTGAAATTTTCTTCCAAGGATGCCTTAAAGAACCTGTGTAAACTGTAAAGTCATCTTTGATTATATTATAGCCGCGCTCTATTGTGTTATTTTGGTTTCACGGCTACTTTTTTTTTTTAATAATGAAGTGGCTGAATTGAATGGTCTAGACTATTGTAGTCTTAGTGAATAAGTTACTAAGTGGGTTGTGGGCTCCTTAATGGCTGATGGCTGAAACCGAATTTGGGTTGATTATCAAACTCTTGAACATATTATTTAATCATTTTAACCACTAAAAGATGGTGACTAATTGTTCATTTTTTAAAGCCCTTGGCTAATCATATTCAACCATTATAATAACCTTCAGGTAACACTGGTCTTAGAAAATCAGGGGCATTAAATCTTTGGTTATCAAATCAATTTTCTTTTTTGGCTGTAATGTAACAATTTCCTTAATTAATTTGAATTCTCAAAAGTAGAGAAAGGAATTAGGGAGTGGGAGATGCGAAGTCATGCATGGCAGGGGTAGACCATAGTAACCTTTAGCTTGACTTCTATCTATTAGGGCTGTTCATGGGTAGGGTTGGGTTGGTTTAATGGATTTTTTTTTTCAACCGACCTGACCTGGTTGGGTTACTTGAAGAGCAAATCGAAACCGACCTGCTATTAAGCAAAACTGACCCAAACATGAATGGTCAGTTTGATACTGTGAACAGTCCTATATTTGGTGTAATATTACCTACTCAAAAAAGGAAAACAATCCTAAAGATAAAAGTAATTCCAATTTAACTAATGTTTTATTGTTCTTTAATGTTAAAAACAAGTAACTAACTAGAAAGAATAATAGGATAAGGATTACCTAATTGGGGAAGAACTAGGAAATCAGAAACTAACTCAGTTTGGTTTCGGTTTTCACACAAGAAAACCGAAACTGAATCGAATTATCAATTTATCCCTCTTCACAACTTGAAACCTACCGGTGGTGAAGAAAAATCGACCAAATTGGGTTGGGTTGGGCCGGTTTGGTTGGTTTGTTATTGTTTGTGAACAGCCCTACTATGTATGTTTAATTAGCATTTATTTATGTACTTCGTTTTGAAAATTTGAAATAAAATGAAGGGTAAAAGTGTCACAAGTTATATGAGTCTATTAAAATAATTTGATTGTTACTACAAAAATTAGGGAGCGGGGCCTGGGCCTAAGCCCGAGAGACCAGCTAGAAAATTGGAAAAAGATTTTTTCTTTTTTTTTTATTTAATAAGAAACTGTTTTATTTATATTAAAAGACATTGTGACTTGAGGCGTGATGGTTGGGCCAGTCTCAAACTCAGACCTGAGTATATTCTGTTAATACAAAGACAAAGCCTGGCCCAGTTTGGCCCATGAACATGTCTATGCATTAGGAATATCTCCTCATGAATGACAACTTACATGACCTGTTCATGGGATGGGCCCAAGCTTGGCTTTTGCCAAATTTTGAAGGGGCTTGGCTTGAAGCCCAAGCCTGATACAATGTAATGTCAAGCTCAAAGCCTGACTTATGAACAGACTAGGAACTTCCTTGACCATCTTCCAGTTAAGTTTTCACACTTGCTTGGGGCTCTACTGGCCGATGATCTGAGCACTGCTCTAGGCCTTTCTATGAGTTCTTTATTTTCTCGTGTCCTCCGCAGCTTTACAAACCATAGAGCGTATGGTATCACCGTTGCGATCGAGATGTAGATGTAGTGGAACTTAATTGACTGATCCCTTGGGTGTAACTGCAACTACTATCATGGAGTATATAGTGATGAGCACCGACTCCATATATAAGTGAGAAAGGCAAGTAATGTTGATGTACGCAGAGAGATGCAAACCCAACGTGTTAGCTAGAGAACAAGAATAAAGAGAAGGTGATCGAATGATCAGCATAGATTTATCTTCATGCTTTGTCGCTACCGTCGTCATCCTACCAAACGCCTCTAGGAGGATTGACTCTGGATTGGAAGGTCACGGTAGTGATCAATGCTGCCACCACCACCAACACGTTCCGAGTTTCACGAGTGTAGTCTCTATTGATATCAAGGATAATGGTGACATGTCACCAGATACTCGCATGATCCATACATGTGATGAGCTTCACTCTACTTGATCTCTAACTGTTCTCTTCTCTCTTATCTTGATAAGTTCTATATCTCTCCCTAGATAGAGTCCTATTGTAACTCAGACTAATCTTCTAAATTAAGTATTGCACACAAACTCTAACAGTTATGCTATATTCAAACTTCATTAATTTATCAATAAATAGAACAAGGTTCGATGAACCCATTTATTCGAACAATTCTCAAAATCTTGCCTCTTTATTTCAAACTTGGTATCAGAACCAAATTCATCATGTCATCAATCAACAGTGTGACCAGAGGAGTTATTAATGGTCTTGGATCGTTGGCTTCAATAGTAACTCCAAGGGCACCAACATCGATGCCAAACATCACACATTATTTGCCCATCAAGCTGAACAACGATAATTATCTTCTTTGGCGTGCATAACTTCTACCAATCCTCAAAACCCATAAACTGGGAATGGTAGAAGGAAAAGTTCCTGCTCCCCTTGAAGAGATCGATGACCCAGAGGATCCATCAAGGAAGATTTTTAACCCAACTTTTGATCATTGGTACCATTTGGATCAATTAGTAATAAGATGGATAGTTTCGTCTCTCAAAGGAGTTCTTGTACAAGTCATAGGAATGTCTCCATCAGTTGAAGTATGGGGTGCGTTAGAAGATTCATTTGCTTCACACTCCATATCCATAATTCTTCAACTAAGGAGACAACTTCAGAGTCTCAAGAAAGGTACTCTTTCTATTTCTGAATATATTAAAAAAGCCAAAGGTATTTTCGGTAGTTGCTGAACCTGTTTTAAAACAAGATCTTGTACTATTTATTTTGGGTGGACTTGGACATGAGTATGAATCGTTTATTACTACTATTACTAATCAATCCTATCTTGATAAATTATGATATTGTTGGTCAATTAATTAACCATGAGTCTTGGCTCCGAGAGAACCAATCTATTAAGGCCAATGATAATGCTTCTGCCAATCTTGCCTCCTCTAGCAACAAGAATCACTCTCAGCAGCCGCACAACAACTCCCAGCATGGCGGAGGCAAAGGTAGTCATGGTGGTTACACTAATGGCTCAGGATGTGGTAGAGGGCTTAACACCATTGTTTATGAGCTATGTAACATTCTTGGTCATGGAATTTGGAAGTGTTGTCGCCGATTTGATATTTCTTATCTTGGTGGTGATTGTCAATCTGCTCCGATTTCCACTTCTGAACCAACAGCTTTTCACATTGGCAACTCATCTTAGTTTGGTCCAGCTTGGTATCCGGACTCAGGAGCGATACATCACATCACATCTGAACTCACCTTCAGGTTCGATTAGACTATGGTGGGTCTGATCAGATGAAAATTGGTAACGATGCATGTTTGAAAATTAAAAATACTCGTTCTTCTCTTATTTTTAATGGTGATCATAAATTTCATTTGCAAGATATTTATCATATTCTATCAATTACAAAAAAATCTTCTATTAGCCAACAACTTTACCAAAGATAACAATATTATTTTTGAATTTCATCCCACTTATTTTCTCTTGAAGGACCATACGAGGAGAGTTCTACTTCAAGGACCCAATAAATTTGGACTCTATCAGTTTCCTACTTCAACAATAATTGATCAATCCTTTTCATCGAGTAATGTTGTTGCATTTGTTGGAGAGAAAGCCTCAATTTGAGTCTAGCATCATCGACTTGGGCATGCTTCTACTAAAATTGTTCAAAATGTTCTCATGGTTTGGCCTTTCGTACATTGGTTCGTTTCATTCACAAGTGTGTGGTGCATGTCAGCTAGGCAAAAGTCTTCGTTTTCCCCTTTCAGTTTCATCTACTTCCTATAGTCGTTCATTAGAGTTAGTTTATTCTGATGTATGGGGACCTACCCCAATTGGTTCTAGTAGTGGCTTCAGATATTATGTTTTACTTGATGCCATTTCAAAATTTTCTTGGATTTTTCCCGTGCACAAAAAAATCTAAAGTATTTGACATTTTTCTTAAGTTTGAAAGGCATGTTGAAATATTATTTGATGTAAGAATTAAGTTTTTTCAATTTGATTGGAGAGGAGAATACTGACACCTTGCACAATATCTTGACTCTCAAGGAATTGGACATAGGCTCACTTGCCCACACACCCATGAACAGAATGGTACTGTTGAATGCAAGCATCGACACATGATAGAGTCCAACTTACTGGTGTCCTCCTCTCTCTCTTAGACTTTTTGGTCCGATGATGCCGAAACTGCAATCTTTCTAATCAATTGCCTCCCCACACCAACTCTCAATGGAAAGTCTCCTTATGAAACTCTTTTTGGCCAGCCACCGGACTATTCTCTACTTCGCACTTTCAACTGCACTTGTTATCCCTTTTTGCACCCATACAATCGTCACAAGATGGAATTCAGATCCTCTCTTTGCATCTTCTTAGGTTATAGCTCCTCCCACAAAGGTTATCGCTGCTATGATATAAAAATTGGCCGCTTATATATCAGTCGCCATGTTGTCTTTGACGAGCAATTCTTTCTGGGTATACCATCACCACCATCATCTCCAAATCCCAGCACCGGCGGAGTTTCACTACTTCCAATTTGTACAGCTCTAGTATAGAGACCAGCACCTCCACCAATTTGAGACCCACATTCTCCTTCCTGTTCGGTGTCATCACCTTTATTTGCTTTTGGGTTTGTCACTGTGGATTCAATTCCCAGCTTGGATAGCTGTGATTCTTCACCTTGGGTTTGCCCGCATACTCGGATGATTCAAGAAATCTTGGATACCACTCAACCGGTTCATGCTCCTCTAGTTCGCACCCATTCTATGGTAACTCGATCTGTGAGTTCCGCTGTGGCTCCATCTGCTTTTGTTGCTACTCGGTATCCTCTGCCTCTTTGCTTTAATTCTACAGTGGAAGCTACTGAATCTGAACCCACATCTTACTAGCAAGCCTCCAAACATAAACATTGGCGTGATGCCATGGCAATGGAGTTTAGTGCTCTAGTTGAAAATGGGACA